GAAGGAACCAGAAACACACCTGTAGGCTGGGGAACTCCCTTCTTGTCAACACGGTGGCAGAAAGGGATCTTGGAGTCATGGTTGACTCCAGGATGAACATGAGCCGCCAATGCAAGGAAGCGGTCAGTAAGGCTAACCGCACCTTCTCATGCATCTACAGATGCATCACAAGCAGGTCCAGGGAGGTGATCCTTCCGCTCTGTGCGGTGCTGGTCAGGCTGCAGTTGGAGTACTGCGTCCAGTTCTGGGCGCCGCACTTCAAGAGGGATGTGGCTAGCACTGAGAGGGTCCAGATGAGGGCCACCCGCATGGTCAAGGGGCAGCGGGGCAGGCCCTACGAAGAGAGGCTAAAGGGCCTGAACCTATTCGGTCTCCACAAGAGAAGGCTGAGAGGGGATCTGGTGGCTGTTTACAAACTCACCAGAGGGGGACCAGGGAGAATTGGGGGAAGCTCTGTTCCCCTGGGCATCACCGGGGGTTACTAGGAATAACGACCACAAATGGTTAGAGAGAAGGTTCAGGCTGGATATAAGGAGGCGTTACTTTATGGTTAGGGCTGCCAGGCTCTGGAATGGGCTCCCAAGTGAGGTGGTGCCCTCTCCTACCTTGGGGGTCTTTAAGAGGAGGCTGGGGTGATATGACTCCGGCACCCATTCCTGCCCGGGGCAGGGGATCGGACCTGATGATTTAAGTCCCTTCCGACCCTAAGCACTATGATACTATGACTATGAACATATAAGGGGAAACTAAATTTCCTTATTAGTACAAGGTTGCTCAGTGAAAAGGGCTGATAGTTATATGGCTCAGTTCTCTCCAAGGAGGCACCCCCATGAAGGCCTCTATTGCTGAGTGTATTGTGCCTTGTGGGCACAGCCCTTCTTTGGAGGTGGCATGAAGCTAGAGCGCTGCAGAGGGAGCTTGGGAGGCAGTCTGCCTTGAGTGAAAACAAGTACCACCAATAATATTGAAATCCTGGTATAGCTCATACTGGCTGGGTCTACATGTGCATTTAATGTAGACTAAGTAGCTGTGGAGTAAAGTGGCATTCTCTAGCATGTGTGATGTTATTAGGCCACAATAAACTAATTAACACCACAGTAAAATAGTTCTGTTGGGAACACTGCTTTCTTACGTCAGTGTAATTTACTGTGATTAAATGCACGTGTAGACGTTGACCATGGGCATAAATTGTACCCAGTCAACCCAGCCAGCTGGGGACCACACTCCTACCTGCTGTCTAGCCACATGGCTCCACACTTTCAGCACCATCTAGCCCAGGGGCGGGTAATTATTTTGGGTGGAGGGCTGCTTACTGAGTTTTGGCAAGGCTTCGAAGGCCGCATGACAGGCAGCCAGAGGCAGATAAACGTTAACTTTTTAAATTTTTAGGGGCCCTGTGGGCCAGATAGAATGGCCTGGTGGGCCACATGCAGCCCGTGGGCCGCAATTTGCCCACCCCTGCTCTAGCCTCTGCCATCTCGTTTGTCACCTGATGCTCCCACCCAGAGCCTGGGGCTCGGTAACACTGGCATAAACTGCTCTGCCCTGGCTCAGATTGCTGCTGTCCTGAGCACGCATGTAGACACTACACCTGGGAGTAAGTTTAGTCCAGCTCAAACTGATCCATGGTTTATTGCTTCAAATAAATTGCATGTGTAGATGCACTCACTGAATTCAAAATGGTTGTCTCCTTGATTGTCCCAGTTTTATTCAACATGCAGAGTTCTCTGGGCTGTTCTTTTGCCTCCCTTTTCTTTGGAAAGGTATGGCATGTAACACCTTCTAGGTGTTCTGTACATTATGCCAAGCAATCAATAGCATTAAACAAAACCACAACACATTTACTCAGTTTAGTAACTCAGTTTCATCTGAGTTGGAATAAATACCTGTAAGGTTAAGATAACTTTTTCTCACAGCCTCTTTGCCTGCATACGTGAATAAATATGTGCAGTTGTCATAGAAGTCCCTCTATATGAACTAAGGTTGACAAATAACTATGGTTTTAGAGGAATGTTGGATATTTGGTGTCTTTAAAAAAATAATTCATGTGCTTGCAAAAAATAATGGTTCAGTAAGGGTTTTGCTTTGTCAAAGTTCTGCATCTAGCCCATTCTGGGAGCCAAACCTTGTCGTCTTCACATGTGTATACAGAGGGTCTCTGCTATGCACTTTCATGCTCCACAGAAATCTCGTTGCAAGTCTGAAGATCTGTGCTTGAGGCAAACGATGTGGATTAGTCAGAATACTGGTAGAAATGACTTGTCTATGGGATATGAGTGGTGGTGTTATTTTGACCCGGTAGACATTAGATGAAAAAAATAATGGAGTCTCAATATCTCTTTCTATAGAGCAGCACCCTAAATAGAGGGAGAAAGGCTGGCATGGTCCAGGGAGGTACATGGTAGTACAGCTTCCGTGGTGTTGCACTTCCAGGAAACTGAGATGGGAGATGGTCAGAACAGTTGTGGAGTAACAGGGTCTATATATGGTTCACCCTGGACCTCTGCAGGTCTGGTATGTGTGTGTTTAGTGTCTATAGCATTTAATGCAAGGAGAAAAACATACCTCACCAGAAGGCCGATGGGAGATGAAGAAGCAGGGAACCCCTGCGAGGAATCCTTACACATATTTCCTCCCCCAGGACCTTTTCATATGAGGACTTTAATGCACCACTTTGCAGTACTCATCAAATTAGATTGTCATATTGTTACTGCAGGTGCATTAATTACTGCCTTAGTGAGATCTGAAATAAGTGAAAGCTGCACAATCAGAGATAAATGGCTTTTCACGATGCAAGAAGACTAGAGATGTAATAAATACAAATGGTTAAACTGAAAAACTGAGCATGGATTCCTGGGTTCGTCCTCACTTCCTTGTAAAATTGCTCTAGGCAATGGATCTATGACAGCTCATAACAGCTTAAAAGCTAGCCCCTTACTGTATTACCTTGGATAAATTATTTAACTGCTTCCTGTCTCATTTTAGCCAGTAAGTACAGTAATCCACAGAGGCGAAATAATCCTTAGAAGGTGTTTTAAGATTAATTGATTAAAACGTGCTATTAATACACAGAAGCTTATTGGCAATGCAGATCGCACTGCATCTTGGTGCTTCCTACAAACATATCACGTTATGATGTCATCATGGCTTTAGTGACAGTCAGCCGCAATCAACAAACGCGGAACAAAAAATAATTTAAACTTGTGACATTTTTTTTCATTGGCTTGTACATCGTATGGAAAAAACTTTGTCGGGTCGAAGACAGCCATCAAACCTGTGTTTAATCCATCAAAATAATTTAAAAAAGGAGTCGTTTGTCCGCTTCTCTTTCTGTTTACTTTAAAAGAATAACAGGAAGTAGAAAGCAGATGATTCTCAGTCGTTGAGACCCATCAGGCAACCTTCAGGTAGAGTGAGATGAAACGGAGGGTGATGGTCTTTACCGTGGGCTAATTTGGGCATCAGTTGAAAGGAAAATTATAACTAAATGACCTTGTACAGTAGTGCTCCATATTGGTCATCTTTTACGAGTACTTAGTTTTCTCTTGGGAGTAGTTACAAATCTGTGTACATTTTGCATAATAGGAAATGGCCACGCTCGTCTTAAAGTCCCCAGGTACTGGAATGAATCTGTCACAGCCAGTCTCTCTTGCTAATCTTCTTCCCTGCAAATAGTTGCCTTGGTGGGACCTGCCAATGATTGTGCCTCAGTGGTTGATTCAAGTTGAAGTTCAAATGTGTAATGAATATTTTAGTTCAATTAATGTAATTATATCCCAGCCCTGGAAAGGGTATTTCAGGCAGTCATAAAATAAAAACCTGGTCCTTAGTTAGCTCATCAACTTTATCCACTATGAATCCTAGAGCATAAGCATCAGCTAATACATTTCCTTAGCTACCTCCCTAAACATTAAAGTGACATAAAAGGCCCAGTGATCTGGAACTCGCTCTCCTTGAGATCTCTGTTAACAAGACTTGCAGCTGTAGCACTGGGGGGAAAAGAAGTTACAGGAAGTTATAGTTCATGGACTGGTATCATTTAAAAGCTTGATAATAATTGTCCATATCTCATTTCTTGACTCTTGTTATTCTCATCCTGAAAATCCTTTAAAAAGCAAAATATGGGGATGAATATACCCCCACCGTTATAGGCATAACTCTCCCTCAGCAAAATTCAGCTTTGCTATCTAGAGAATCAAATTCGGGGTTAATGTGTCTTGTTAATGTAAGTGAGTGTGTCATGCATGCATTTTGGAAGCCAGTGTCATTCTTTTTCTTAGGCTTTTATTCTACAATGAGAATTTCTTTTTCTCTTGGCTTGGGAGCAGGATTAAGTCTGTAGCTACCAAGTCAGTTTGATGTTGGTCTGGAATGAATATGTACTTTGAAAAACTACACTGCAAGAGTCAATCTGTAAAACATTGGGAATTTGAAGATGCCTTTACTTTCCTTTTAATTGAATTTTAGAGGCCAGGAAAAGAGATTGTACTTTATCACTCTTTTTGTGTCCTCCTTTTACAACATTTTTATATAGATGGCACCTTTTTATAATCACACAGGCACAGGACACGAACTGGAGGATTTTTACAAAGGGATTTTTTTTTTCCTCATTGGTTTCTCATTGCTTTGATGTGCTAATTTCTTTCAAGAATAGTTTAGGAGTAATTAAAGCATCATGTGGGATAGTTCTCTGGGGAGGGGGTGGGGGGCAGCAATATACTCAAGGAGTAGATGTGCAAGAACTACTGAAGGTGACATCTTTTCAGTTTGTAAAATAAATAAATGTCATTAAGAACTTGCATGTTGTATAGCTTTAAGGGGGGGAAAAAAACCCAAGACAGATGGAGACGTATACATTTATGATTGTGGGGTTCCCTAATATATAAACCATTTCCTTTCCTTATTCTTATGCCTCATTAACATTCTTTTTTTAAAGGCTGCCAGTGAATTGCAGACAATTAAAGCTTTTTATAAGCATTTTAATTGTTCTTTTTTTATAGATCCAGCACACTCTGTGTTTGTTTTGCAGAGGAGTCCTTCTGGATGTTGGAATACATTTGTTAATCTAATGTAGACGTGGGGCACCTGAGGTTGTCTCTGAATGCAGCAGAGTTGTTTCTCCTTCCCAATTTGCTGATGCAGCGCTATCTGCTGGCTTTCGAATTCAAGGGAGTAGTACGCGGTTTCCAAAGAACGCCATGATTTATCCAGTCCTGCTATGGTGTTGCATAAAAATTATACTTAAAAAAAATGACATGCCTGTCTTTATCAGTACTTTATATATCATTTTCTTTTCAGTGGGCAAGCCTTTGTGCTGTCATTTTCCTTTTCCTCTTATTTAACTTTTGGGGGTAGGTTAGCCAGTGAAGGGAATGGAAATTGAAATCTCTAACTAAACATATATGACAGATCCCCCACTTCACTTGCAAATGGCCATCGTTTTTTTTTTTAAATATGCTGCACAGCTTGTAGTTAATAGAAGCTCAAAAAGATAATGAGTTCTCTATTGCAGAACAGATGTATACCGCTCCTTTTATCATACGGAATAGATTTGCAGGAGAACAAATTGCAGTAAGCTTTGAAAATTTGCAGCTATCCTGTCATCGCCTTGCTGTCTGTTATTACATGAAAAAGGGCACTGTGGTAACTGAAAAGTCAGTTAGAAAGCAATTAAGTAAAAGTTAAGAAGATATCAACTTAAACGTACGAAGGAAAAAGACTATTTTGGTTGTAGTGTTTGTAAAAAAAAAAAAAAAAAAGTGAGAAGAATTGAGAAAAATGCAAGCAAACTACAGAAAGTGATGTCACTATATGTGGCTGGCAGTACCCGTAGGAACATGTTAAAAGAAGGCTAATTCAGAGAATTAGACAGGCACCAAGTGTTATATCTGTTGTCTCATTGTAGGAGAGGAAATGTACTAAAACCTGGTAATCTCAATTTGCAGCCATTCTTTCAAACCAGAGTTGAGGTGTTTCCATCCTGCGAGATCGCTACATGCGGTTCAGAGGTGGCATCTGGAGTCAGATCCAGATCTGAAACTTTTCTGAAGTTTGGGAGGTTAGGAATATGCTGTTTTGATTAAGGTTTCCAGTTTGAACCCACCTCTGCTACTAACAAGAGACAGTGGGGCTAATCATAGAGTCGTAGAAACTTAGGGTTGGAAGGGACCTCGGGAGGTCATACAGTCCAAGCCGCTGCTCAATGTCACACTCAAGGTTTAAGTGATGGATCTCCTCTGACTTGTGCCATTTAATAGAAAGAAACAAAGAATTTGCACCTGTTCCATGTCATGAACTAGGCTGGCTGGAGAACCCTCGAGGAATTCTTAAAAACACACTACAGGTTTCCCTTGCTTTATGTTGTCCTGGAAAACGGCGCATAAATCAAATTCGCATAAAGGGAACCCACTTTACAATGTAACCAATAGAGGTACGTTCCAAGACATTGACTGTACCGACGCATTTCTACCACTTTTACAAGACAATTCGGGTACTCACCAACAGCAGACAGTACACACAAGCACAGGGCACTATCATAATGGGGATGGCAACTACAGAAACACGTGTCACAGACAACGAGTAAGGAGTACAGATCCACACAGGAGACTGTTTTTTGGTGCTTGTCACTCCCACAGTGCACCACATAAAGCAGCTGACCGCGGGTTTCCACCACACCAATCGCGTAAGAGTGAATTTACCTTGTATATAACAAATTTGTGGTATAAAAAGGGTCATGGCATAAGAGCAAAGTCGCACATGCAGAACCCACATAAAGGGAGAGAAACCTGTACTCGGCCCTATTGAGCGCATCTACATGTGGTGCTACATTGCCGTAGCAATGCAGTATGGTGACATAGCATCTACGGGTGTCTACACGTGACCAGCAGCTACTTCACTCTAGCGGCGCATTTGCCCATTATAGGCGAAGTAGCTGCTAACAATAACCATGCGCCACACGTACGGTGCAGTACAGGCAGTTACTGCACTGTGCTTTAGTACTTCCAAAAGGAAGTACTAAAGTACGGTGCAGTAACAACACTGCTGTAGGGCAACGTATAAACATGCCCATTATCACCGAAAGTGGGGGGAAAGTTAAAAACACCAAACCGTATCTAGCTCTCCCCCCCCCCCTTTTTTTTTTGATTGCTAGATTTTGTTTCAAATTGCCCAAAACTGTCCAGAGGTCACAAAGGACATCTGCAACAGAGCCAGAAGCAGAGCTTCAGCAGTGACTTATGCTGACCAATTCAACCACTAGACATTTCCTCTCTTTTATGGCCAAGACATCCATTTATTTTCTAGTTCTCCATATCTTAGTAGCCTGATTACTGTTTCCAAAACTGTAGTGCCTCTATTTATGTAATCTAAATGACAGCTGATTTGCAGAAGACTCCTCTATTCCATGGTTGCACAGCTACAGAAAACTAACAGTTGCATTTCTATAGAGACAGCGTAGCACAGAGGTTGCATGTAAAGCATGAAAGCTGGGGAGGGAAAGTATTTTTCCTGTGTCTGGCCAGGTGTTTCGTTGTACATAATGGAGGGCATGTGCTATAATATGGACCTTCCTATCGCTAATCTAAAGATGTAGTTTGCAGACCCTTCCTTGCCTACCCTGATGTTTGCTGATTTCCCACATTGTTGACTCTCTTCCCTTTTTTGGACACAACCACTTTTGGCTCAGCCAACAAGTAGGATTTTCCATGAATACCGTTCTCCCTTCCTACAACATGCGCACAAGTAACCATGTATTATCTGTGGTCTACATAAGAGAATTCCCCACATCGCTTGCTGTTGGGCAGAAGGCTGGCCATAATCTTGCTTATAGACTAGAACAGGGCTCATGCCAGGTTACTCCAATGATTTGTGTGTCCCTACTTATGACTGGGGCTGGGCTTGAAGGTAGTTTGAAAGCAATATATCTGATAAAGTGCCCTTATCTCACAATAAATCATCATGCAGCTCTGCTATGGGTGGATTGTTCAGTACCTTTCCTTCCTAAGCTGTGTAAATCAAAATAAAAACACAGCTGCTAGGTCCAGTGCTTTGGTGTGCAGAGCAGGGAGTTTGGGTTCTAAATTAGTTGTTAATTTGGAGTCGAAAAGAAATCCAGAAGCAGTCGGGTATAACTATTTCTTGATTACTTAATGTTTTGGCATGAAATTGGGGATAGGGCAGAATTAGACTAGGAAAATGAAGACAAATCAAGACATCATACAGACCAATGAGAAATACCTGTAAAGACAAGCTTATGTCACAGCCCTTCAAATTCAAGGCTGACTCTTCCCAGGTATATTTTTGTTTTAATGGCAGCATTGATACCTATCACATTCAAATCATTTCGGAGTATGTTTTATTTTTAATCTTACAATGGTAATTTTCCACGGTCTGTTAGGAGGCATGGTTTGAAATGGTGAAATTACTGCTGAAGTATTTCAATTTTACTGTAACAACATTCTTCCCAAGTTGTGCATTTAATGTACCTTCAATGAGTGTGGTCAAACAATAAACATCGCTTTAATAGATCTTTCTCTAATTGCATTCTTTGTTAGCTTAGTCCAAAGGGAAGAATTCTACTGTAATCCTAATGTCTTGACTCCTATTGAAGTCAGTCAGCCACATCCTGGACCCACAGATGGTGCTAGGAATTGTCTTTGCTTATGCTAAGGCTATATTCAGCCCCTGATTTCATTAACTTTGGTGATCAAATGAATATAGTGGTTGGTGTTGATCCTAGTAGCCTTTTGGCAACATTAACTTAACAGTCCTGATACAAAGACCACAGCTGAACAAGCCTTGTTTCCTTTGGGAGGTGGTTGCACAGCATAATGATGGAAGTACATTGAAAAAATTGGTTTTAATCACGTTCATAGTAACACTTTGTATGAAACTGGCTCAAAACTTTTCAGTAGCAGCTGTAAAAATATGATTTTGCAGCCTATTTGAACAGTCCAGAGTTCTGGTTACACAGGTGGCTCCCATCGACGTATCCATGAAGTAGTGCACCAGACTTCTTTACCATTTTGACTCTTAATTCACTTCTATATTTCTAAATGTTAGGTATACCAATAGTTATTTAAAGTGACTTAAGTATATAACTCACTAAACTTTTTTGCGGGGTGAATCCCCATTGATTGTAATGATTTTAGGCTATATCTGTCTCTGGGGGGAAATGTACTCCTAAATTTAAAGTTCTGACTCAAGACAAAAACCTATACACAAACCACAAGCCTATCTTGTCTGGGTCCAATCTCACAATCCTTGTGTTCAGGATTGCTGCATCATGCAGTTTGCTGGATTGGGTTTTTTTGTGTGAATCCAGATGTAGCTCTCATTTATTAGTGGCTGTATACCCTGCTCTGGTGGTGTGGACAGTGGGGCAAGTGGCTGGAAGGCCAGAGGTCAAGAGTTGGAGGCCATAGCAGAAGCGCTCATGGCATGGCCATGTCAGATTCCAACAAATCTATGAATTCTGCTACAGACCTTGTCACAAAGGTATTTAGCAGGTATTTTCCAAAAGGAAAGGATGTAGGTGCATGTATCAAATACTTACTGCCATAATTACTTGCCTACCATGTGTACTGCTTTCCCAAAGATTAGCCCTCCAAAATTGGGGTGCATGTCTTAAGTCTGACAGCTGATTTTCTGTGCTAAAATAAAATCATGGGGACTGCTATCATGGCTGCCACTTCTTTCTCCACTCTCCCTGCCAGCAGCATGGGTGCAGAGACAAAATCCAGCCTTCATCATATCAACAACAGTTTTAACCCTTTCACAGAGGCTGCTGAATTGGTAGCATGTTTTGGCTAAGCGATTGCTCTGATGGGCTTTGATGGCTTAAAGCTTGATCTGTAGAGGACAGAAGAAGTGATGCTGCAGAGTAGACCCTGTCCTGCAGCCCCATTCAGCGAGGACTTTAAAAAAAAAACCTTTTCTTTTTTTTGTTTTTAATTCATTTTGTTTTCCCAAAATGGTATATCTTATTTGTGGGGAATACAGGAAAATAGAGCATATCCTTCTCTAGTTATTTAAAATAAAGTCAAGGACATGCTGTTGCTGCCGAGTCTGATCCTGGAAAGAGTAAGACTTTTTCTTAGTAAAAAAACCTAAAGCATTGTTAAAGACAGAATGATCTTCTCTGCAGAAAATAAGCTTTGCCCTTTGCCTCACTTTCATTAAGATTAAGCTGTTAGCGTCTGCAGTTTTCTCTACTTCAGAACATTATTTGCCAAACAATTTGAGTCTTACTGTGTGATTTATATAGAGACAAGGTGTAGGCTTAATTTTATTCTTTCAGCATTCTGAATAATATGGTGCTGACCAGCTTTTGCAGCTCAGCCTCTGCTGATCTTTCTCTAAACGTGGTCTGATGCTTTAAGCATATGACTGCTTGTAGCTGAATGTGCAGATGTGATGTGTGATTTGACGACAACTTTTCCAGCTGCTGTGATATGTCAAAATGATAAGACACGGGTGCTTCTGAAAGCCACTTTAGGGCAGAGAGAGACTTCCTTACCTCTCGTTTGGAAGAGGTGTGCCTTTGTTCCATAGCTAGATGAGACATGAGGGCATCTTTTTACATACGAGTCCATGGGAGTTTCGGGACCAAAAATTGTTAGCAAATAGCAAGATTTGAGAGCTGAGCTTCTGCTTGGGGTCTCAGGTTTTCCAGCAGAAAGTAAACCTCAAACTGCTGAATTGTTGATGGAATTTGGTGTTTGGATCTTTCATGGCTATGTAAGAAGACAAAGCTCACCAGTACCAAATTACCAGCAAAGTCTAAAGCCACATTCTAGCACTGAAACCAATGAAGTTTGGCATCCAGGGCAAAGCCCGCAGCAGCAGCCTGCCCTCGCCCTGTGCACAGATCTGGGGGGGGCACATGCCCCCCCATGCTTGCCCAGGAGTGGCGGGAGCTGCCCTTCTTCCATCCCTGCGCCCCCCTAAGATGACCCACTTGCAGCTGCATCCCATGCCTTGCCCTGGCTGGGCAACACCTATTGGCGCCCCTTTGCTTCAGCGCCTGGGGCAGTTGCCCTGCTTTCCCCCCCCCCCCCTTGCTGTGGCACCATTGAATAGAATCCATCCAATTGCTTCTGCTTGTAAGGAGGCTTTATTTTTCTGAAGTTTTCTTTTGCCCTCATAATGTGGATCAGATCCTGTTTCATTCAGATCCTATTTTGTAAAGAAAACAAGCACATAGCCAGAGGTGCTTTGCATCTCGCAGGATTGATTCCAATGTTAAGATATTAGCCAAATGAGAGAATGAGAGAGGACTGCACAAGATTTGGGTGTGATTTGGATGTGGTTTGGTCTAGTCCGACTCAAGAAGGGTAAAGGGTCAGAAGTTTAAGTCAGGTGCTCCTGGCTACTTGTACTCGCCACAGGGGGTTAATTTGGTTTAGTTCTCCCTAAATTGAAACGGTGGGTTTTTAAAAACCCACCATTTCCACTGTTTCAATTTAGGGAGAATTAAACTGAATTAAACCCCCACGGTGTGCACACAAAGGTGGGGGGCCCAATCCTAATTTGCCTCTCTGGTGGCAGAGAGGGAGGAGCATGAGCTGCTGGCAGGCTGAGCTGTCCCTGAGCTGCGCGGGGGCCTGGTTCTTCCCTCCATGGTGGCAGCAGTGCCCCCCAGGTGGCACCCGGCTGCTGGCACCTGGCCCGGGTGGTCCTGGGGAGCACCGCAGTTGCAGAGGGAACCACTGGGCCCCCACACAGCTCAGGCAGGCAGGCAGCCTCCAGGAGGGGGAAAAAAAAAAGACCAGGCTCCTTGCTGCTCGGCTGGGTGTGCTGGCAGTGGGAGAAGGCGGCAGGGATGGTGCATGGGGTGCTGGAAGCCCGCCAAGCCCCGAGCACATCAGCTTCCAGCGCCCCGTGCACTGTTGCACTTGGTTAGGTAGAAAACTAAACCACCTCAGAGGTATTTTATCTTGCTACATTACAAAGTCATTTAAAGCAGAATACACCATTAAGCGTGCAAACAGGAACGCCATTAAAACAGAGTATGCCGCCTAACATGCAAACAGCAACACCACTAAAGCGGTGCAAAAGGGCATTGAAGCCACTTTAAAGGCCAATTTTGTGGCATGTACAAAGGTCCCCTGAAGCTGGCTACCATTTGTTTTGCATCTGGTGAGTTTTGCAGTAGTTAGCACTGACATTTCCTGAGTGTGTTGGCCACACTAGAACTGGAACCAGAAACACCATGTCTTTGTGAGCTGCAGTGCAACCCGCCCAAGCAAAGCTGGAGGTATCAAACTAAAGGTGAGGCTTCATATCCACTCCTATTTCTAATACTCAAAGATGTGCTACTGGGGCAACAGGGATACCCTCTCCTCTGTACCCTTTTTACCCTCTCCTCTTAGCCCCTGAATCCCCCAAGCTGCAAGAAGGCTCCTTTCACCGCCTCACTGTGCATTTCAGCAGGTCCAGACAGAACGAGGGAGCATAGCAACCGAACAAGATGATACTGTTAAGATTAAAATTGGGATAATCACATGGTTTTGGCAAGTGGCTTTTCCCTGCCCAGTGTTTACCTGTTGGGGCAAGGATGGTGGGGTGCTAAGGTACACTGCTGATAGCCTAGAGGTTGCAAGTTCAGGGCTACAGTGAGGCCTGTCAGAGTCCAATGAACTCTCCAAATTCTGCTAAATCTCATGTCACATTGGGCATCTTTACATGTGTTCTGGGGAGGGTGCCTTAATTAGAGTGGGTCTCATGTATTCAGTGTTTCATACTTCAAATGGTGGCAGGGGCACTTTAAAGCTCGTTAGGGAGCTTTAGTTAAATGAGCTTCAGTTAAAGTGACCCCCACCACGATTTTGAAGCTTGGGGATGCTGAATACATGTGATACCTAGGCTGCTGCTGCATGGTAATGAACTAATTAGCACACTTGAGCAGATTTGATTAATCAAGTCTGCTTTGATGGACACACATTGGAGCAGGCATTGGGCACGTGCATAGGTGCCCAAGGATATGAAAAAGGAATGGAAAGGAAGTTTTTTCCTAGGTTAATAATTCACTGTCGGTGTTTCTCAACCTGTATTATGCATAATGCTATCATAGCCCTTCAATAACAAAATCTTGCGATTACGTGTTAAGGGACTAAGCCTCAAACTTCCACGGCTCTGTAATCCCTCCATTTAAGCAGGAGTTTTGAGTTCCCCTGCAACGCAGAATCAGGCGCATCATGATGTTTGGAGTCCACTGGATAAAATCATTATCTTGACAATTGATGTTTCACTTCAGATGTTCCTCACTATTTCTCAGTGTTGCATCAACAGCAATTTTAAAACTCTTTAAGATTTAATGTGATTGCTGCCTCTAGTCCTGTGGGGGACCAAAATGTTTTCTCTTCTGCCAGTAGAGTATATTAGTTATTTTTAACACGTTAAATTTGAGGGTGGATTTTTCTGATTGACATTTCTTCAGAGACGCAATATAGAATGAATAAATAGATTGCCTCCAGTCACACCTGACAATGACTAAATCTCATTGT